CATTGCTCCATAACCTTCCATGGCTCCCTACTGCCCAAAGGATGAAGGCTTCACCCTAGTCATCTGGGGCCCCATGATCCTACCACCTCCTCCCCAGTCTTATTGCCCTGCTCCAGGATGCTTTCACCCCTCAGAGCCTTTAACCATATTATGCTCTGTTCCTAACAGTCCTTCTCCTCTGGGCTTGACTGGTGGACAGCTGATCTTTCTTCTTTCCTGCCTGCTCCCCACCCTCAGGGCCCAGTCCTGACCCAGCCTGGGGGGTGCTCTGTCAGGTGTCACATTTAACCTCCTGCAGTCTGAGTGCCCCAGCCTCAGGCAGAGGCAGTAAGGCCTGTCTGGGGTGGATCTCAAACTTGTCAGATGGGTTTGGGTTCGCTGTTCTCTGAAGTTGTTCTGGCTCAGAGGCAGCCTTGGCCAGGCCTGGCAAGATCCTGCTAGGGGCTCGGGCCAGGCCACGACGGTGCCAAGAGAGCTGCAACCTGCCAGCCAGAGCCATCTGAGGACACCTGGGGCATGTGGCAGGTGGGCCAGGATACAGGGAGGGTGTGGTGGCTGAACCAGGTGGGGCAGGCTTGGTTAGAGGAGGGGAGGGTGGCTAGCCAAAGACAGAGATAGAGGTTTGAACAAACTGACAGACAGAGATGGAGAGAGAGAGACAGAGATGGGGAGGGAAAGAAGGAAAGTGACTGGGAGAGTGAGGCCAGGGGGCACAGAATGGCTTGTGTGACCTAGGCAAGCCCTGCTGCTCTTGCCTGTCTCCTCTTCTGCACCATGGGAAGGGTGTGATTGAGACTAGAGAGGGAGAGAAAAGAGGGGCATGGAAGAAGAGACAGGAAAGAAGGGGAGGAGGGGGACTGGGAAGAGGGGGACAGGAATGAGCCACTGGCCATGGTGGGGGGCAGCAAGGGGAAGTGGGTGTGGAAAGGAGAAGTGGTGAGGGACCCAGGCCTGGGAGCAACTGGGAGGGAGGTGCTCCTGCTGATCAGGAAGGCCTGGGGCTTTCCAGAATGTGGAGAAACAGGAAGTGGCTTCATCTGTCCCCTCCCCCACTTGGGCCAGGCCCACCTGCCATGTCTCACCTGCCCAGGTCTGAGAGTCCCGCCTCCCTGGACATGCCCTCTGTTTGCCTCTGTCTCCTTGACTGCGAGATGACCATAACCCTAGAGTCCTCCCCAGGAGGTAAACTGAGGCTGGGAGTGGGGGGAGCTCTAGGGTGGCACTTCTCAGAAGGAAAACTGAGGCTGGGGGTCTAACCAGTGGCACCTCCCAGATGGAGAAACTGAGGGTAGCCCAAGAATCTCGTAGGTTCACAAAAAGCCCCCAGGGAACCTGATCTTTGGGTCTGTCTGAAGTTTTCTGCTGTTTAAAGTAGTTAAAACAGCTGACCCACACTGCAAGCTCACTGCACATCTTCTCCTTTCTGTGTGTTGGGCCTTCTGACTATGTCCCTTTAGCAGGAGGGACACTGAGGCTCAGAGAGAGGCAGCTGCTCCCCCAAGCCTCCTCTGGTCTGGCTCTGGGACCCCATTTCTGTCTGTGGTCTCCCCACATTGGGTATCCCAATTTCACCCGTAAAAACACAGCACTCTGCCCTAGCTGGTTTGGCTCAATGGTTAGAGCATTGGCCCTCAGACTGAAGGGTCCCAGGTTTGATTCTCGCCAAGGGCATGTATATCAGTTGCAGCCTTGATCCCTGGCTCTGGGAAGATGTGAATTTAAGATACACAAAGGCTACTTCCTTAATGTCAGTATGTCCCAAACACTGCTTGGGACATACACTAAAAAATTATTTTTCATATACCTGCAATTCAAATGTAACTGGACATCTTGTGTTTTATCTGGCAACCCTACTTCCATGAGCCTGGTAACGGTGTCTGGGGGGACCTCTGGCCTTGTGTGAGCACTGTTCCCCCTGTAGATAGTGATTGGTGAATGTTCACTTAGGTGACCCTGTAGTCCAGAAGCATCACCTGCAGACATGTTAATAGCTAAATACTAGGCACTGCTCACTTAGCTGTTTGAACAACTTAAAAAGCAGCTACTATTATCATCCCCATTCTCATTTTGCAGGTGGGGAAACAGAGACACAGAGAAGTTAAGTAACTTTCTAGGTTCACACAGCATGAAAATACAGCTGCACCCGGGCTAGGGCTGGAGCTCCAAAACTGTGTCCCTTCTGCTCTCCCAGGCTGCCTCTTGCGATTCCCTGGAAATCCCCGAATCTGACTAATTCCCTAGACATCCTCAGACTTGGCAGATTCCTCCATGCTGAGATGGCTGGACCCACCCTGGCCTGGGCAAATTGCCCCCACTTTAGGCGAAATTACTTGTAAAGACCTCGTGGTTTCCCAAGGTGGACGTGGCAGAGATCAAGTCCACGCCTGCCTACCACTCTTGGTGACCTTAGTTCTGCACCTCGGTTTCCCCACCAACAAAATGCAGGTAAACCAGTCCCTGTCTCTGAGGGCCATGGTGGGAGCAGGGCTGGTCTTATGTGTTGTGACTTAAATTTCACCCAGGCCCCACACTCAGGGGTCAGGAGACCCTATTAGGTTTAATCTCTGCTGTCACCGCCTTGAAATTCTGAACCCTTTTTGAACAAGAGGCCCTACATTGTCATTCTTCATTGGTCCCTGAAAATTGTGTGGCTGGTGGTGTGTGGGCGGAACTGGGAAAATGCAACCGGGCTTGTTTGCCCTTTTTAATCTTCAGTGTCTGTTGCTCAACTGGATTTCTTTTCATTAGTTCTAAAAAATAGTTTCAAAGTCAGGGTTACAACCCAGATTGCCAAAGTAATGCTCACTCTGGATAAATCACTTCTCTCTGGGTCTCAGTTTCCCTGTCTGAATCTTTTGTGCTTGTAGGTTTGGGCACAGGGGATCTTTGGTCTGAATTTTGTAGGGCAAACAGGTTTTAAGCATAATCTTCTCCCTTACCAGACCAGTCATTTGAACAGCTTTTATACTTTGCCTGGACTACCCTTCCTACTCTTGTCTGTTTGGCAAACTCCTATTTAAACTTCAAAGCCCCAGTATCAATATCCCCTCCTCCTTGCAGCCCTCCATGATGCCTTAGGCAGAGACATCATCCCTCCCTGGGCCTCAGGCCTAATCTTGCAGGTGAGAGAGTCTGGTCCTGGCTCTGTCTCCCCTAGACTGGGGGCTTCCTGAGGACAAGGCTAAGAACTGAGTTCTCTCTGGGGCCCCAGCTTTGCTCAGCTCAAGGCCAGGCATAGAGCAGCATTCCTAAGAGTTCACTGAGTGAATAAACAAGCGTGCAGAGAGGTCGCTTGTAATTTCAGGGGATTTCAGGGGAGGCCCTGGCTACTGGTGAGGTGGGTCCAAGGAAAGGGTGGTAGTGTCTTCATTGCTGATAACCCGGCTGGGGAGGGAGTTGTTCCTCCTGCACTGGATCTACCTGAACCGGCCAGCCCACCCCATGGTGAGTCCGGTGGGCTCAAGTCACAGGAAAACTGCTTTCCATGCCAGGGCCTGGCCCCACCCTCTTCTGTCAGTGCCCCAAATCTGTCTGCATCAGGCCCCTGGAAGCCTTAATGGGAAAGGAGCCAGCAGGGAGCCACTCAGATCCCTCTGGCCCTGCACGCTCATGAGAGGATTCTGCTCTACCTCTGGGGGGCCCCTGGGACTTACCAGACCCCCCCTCGCACCCGCCCAAGTGCTAGGCTCTGTGTTGGGGGGTCCAGGGCCCTAGAACTCCCATTCAGATGGGGAGACAGATTAATGAGCCAACTACTGTTGATGGGGAGGCAATCAAGGGAGGAGGCATGACTGGGTGGTCAGGGGCCATTTCAGATGGTTGCAAGGAATTCTCTGAGGAGGGGGCTTTAGAGGCAAGATCTGGGTTGTACAAGAACCCCAGTGACTTAAGGTCAGGGGTAACAGTGCACCAGGGAGGGCACAGCCGCGCAAAGGCCTGGAGGTCGCAGTGGTTGGTTCTATATGCTGTGGAAGAGGAAACTGAGGCTCGCAAGTGTAAGCCACGTGCCAGGGTCTCAACGGTAGGTGGCGGGTTCGGAATTCAAATTCAGAGCCTAAGCTGTCCCACCCCTCACCAGGCTTTGGAGCCAAGGGCTGCACCGCGCCCGCCA